GTTAATTCCAACTGGAGGCTGCAAGGCAAAAGGTGGATGCTGCTGCGCAGGCTCCCCGGTGTGTGGTTCTGGGACTCTCGAGGAGACATATACATTAGCAGGACCTGACCCTCGAAGATGGCCAAATGTTCCAGGTACTGCTGGCCTCAGCTGGTTTAAAAGGGGTGCCTGGTTGGGCATCCCACCATAATGCAGGGGACGAGGAAGGCCTTGGTTACTTGGTGTGCCCACCTCCTGAGGGAGCTGTGTAGAGCTGCCTATATGCAGTTTTAATAAACGTAATCATTATAACATGAAGTTTATGTAAATATTTTTGTTGACAAAATTACTTAGTTAGGTACTATGAGAATATAGAATGAATTTACAAAAACATTTCTTAGCACTTTGTATATATAATTTCAGACACATAAATGTTAAAGGATTGACTTATTTTAATTAAGTTCCAATATGGTAATAGTTGATATATAAAATATCTAACTTTAATACTCAGAGTACTACTAAATAAAAATGTTTTAATACACATTTTTAAATGGGCTTTAATTTAATTGAAATGAATTGAAAAAATACATGCACACTGTGGGAGATTGAGAAGGTGTCATTATAATTTATGTTTTTTATTCATTCAACACTGAAAACATAAGCAATTTAAATGTTCATGTCAGGCAAATCACTAAATAAATTATATTACATTTAAATAATTAATTAAAAATAAAAAGATAGCTATACACTGATAAAAATAATAATAATCCCAGCCAGTGTTGCTCAGTGGTTGAGCAGTAATTTATGAACCAGGCGGTCACAGATTGATTCCTGGTCAGGGCACATGCCCAGCTTGCAGGCTCAATCCTCAGTAAGGGTTGTGTAGGAGGCAGATGATCAATGATTCTCTCTCATCATTGATGTTTCTATATGTTTCTAACTATCTATCCCTCTCTTCCCTCTCCATTCCTCTCTGAAATCAATAAAATATATTTAAACAATAATAATCATCATCACCAACATATTTGGTTATATTAAAGAAAAGTTTCAAAACATTGTGCTTAGCTCTGTTGATATATATATATGTCCAGAATATTGTATATGTCTAGAATATTACTTGGAACAACCTTAAAAGAAAAAAATCAAACCTGCTACTAGTAATTAGTCCTCGAGAAGGAGTAATAGGACTTCAGGGTGACAGGGTTATGGGAAAGACTTTCCATGATATACCTTCCCTTTTTCTATGGTTTGATTTATTTTAACTATGTGAACATAGATGGTTTTCATTAATTTTCTTGCTATAATTTAATGTCGCTCACGTAATTGCATTAGCTGTCTGTACACACACACACCACCACCACCACCACCACCACCAGGACTGTGTTACACTGCCTGTTGCCCACAATTAAGGTTTAAGGACACAGATTATAGAGAACATGAATTTTCTCAAGACAAAATTTTCCTATTTCTTAGTCACAATTCAGATTTGCTGTTAATATTTAACTGTTAATTCTATGTGTTGGAGGTAGCACTTTATTTCAGCAGTATAATGTAGAGTAACTAGTTCCATACCCAGGGATATACTCCTGGGTCTTAGTAATTTGTAGATTAGACAGCAGAAACTTTATATCAAGTCCTTGACCAATCTCTTAATTATTTACCATGTCAAAGATTCTTTAACGTTGTTCTTTTTATTGCACCCTTGTGGACCATTTGCTAAAAAGCAATTTGCTATTTTAGAGATGAATTAGCTTTATTACTTCCTGTTCATGTACATTGAAAAGCACCGTGGACTGCTGTTTTCCCTACCCCATTTCCTACCCTCAGCATCAATGCACCAATTAAATCTAAAAGCCTTTATTTTTCACATCATAAAAAGGTAGCACTTGGGTTATTTCTCAGGATTAAAAGCACAAAATATTTTCACTAATTTACCCTGCAGAATCACTGATTTTTGTTCCCGTAAAATTAATCATACAAAGCAGCAGGGGAGGAACCACCTTGAGTGCTTTTCAGAATATTGAAGTAGAAATTAGCTTAATTTTATGTACGTGGAAGATAAGTGTTTGAGATTTAATACAGTACTAAATATCCAGAGAGAAAGTGGCACATGGAATTATTGAAGCATTTGATTTCAGTAAGAAAAGAGAAAAGATAAAATAATATTCCTCTTACCTTAAATAACATGTTTTAGAACGACATAATGAGTCACTTATTTATTGGGTAGTATCAGCATGTGTAGCAATAATGCTAGTATAGAATGGATTTTGCAAAAGTTTTCAGAGTAAGTCCTTCAGTTAGTAAAGGGCAAAACTAACTAGACTTCTCAATAAAAGCATTTTTAATAATTAGATAATTTTAATGCTATTGGTATAAGGGCAGTGAAACCTGTTTTACTATAGATTAGAAAAGCTATGATGTTCTGTCCATGTTCATTTTCTTTAATTCCATTATATTTACTTTTTATAATTAACTAGAGGCCCAGTGCCATGTATTTTAGAGTTTTATTTATTGTTAATCCTCACCCGAGGCTAGTTTTCCATTGATTTTTTTTTTTTTAAGAGCGAGCGAAAGGAAGTGGGAGAGACACACAGAGAGAAATATTGATGTGAGAGAGGCACATCGATTGGTTGCCTTCCTATTGCTTCCAGAAGGTGTTCTGACCAGGGATGGAGCCTGAAAGCAAGATGTCCTTGACCAGAATCGAACCTGGGATCCCTCAGTCAGCAGGCCGACACTATCCACTGAGCCAAGTCGGCTAGGGCTAGTGTCATGTTTGAAAAGATAAGTTGGTGGTAGTAGTAGTTGTTATGGAATTATAATTTAAAGCCATTGCACTAAAAATGTGGTCTGTCTTCTCATGTCACAGTTTCCAATGGGGATTTCCTGGCTTCAAATGTTATCATTCTGGACAGTTTTAACTGGATATACTAGTTCGTAAGAACTGCCATAACGAAGTCCCACAGACTGGGTGTCTTAAACAACAAGTATGAATTTTCTCACAGTTTTGGAGACAAAGTTTGAGATCAAAGTTCAACAGGGTTGATTTCTTCTGAGGTCTTTTTCCTTGGTTTGTATGTGGCCATCCTCTTCCCGTGTTTTCACATAGTCTTTCTTCTGTACATGGAGTCATATTGGATTAGGACTAATGACCTTATTTCAACATACTTACCTCTTTGACGACCCTGTCTAGAAATAAGTCATGTTCTAAGATTCTGTGGATTAGGACTTCAAAATATGATTTCTTTTGCAGGGAAGGGCAGGGGCACAATTTCATCTGTAACACTGGATAGCATTCAGCAGATCAAATTGAATAGGCTCCAAACCCCTCCCAAGTCTGATTCTCCTCTGATAACAAAAATCATTAAAGTCTATTTTACAAATTTTAGAATTTGATGATCTTTGATTTCTCTTTCTCTTGCACACTTACACCTGATCAATTGCCATGTCTTCTTGATTCTGGTCCCCTATTATTTCTCATTGTCTTCATTTCTTCTTCAGGATGACATCCACTTAACTGATGTTTCCACTTGGATTGTTGCACAGTTCCCTATCTGTTTTCTCCGTTTCCTGTCTTTCTTACTCAGTCAAATCTATGCACTGCTTCTCAGATAATATTGTAAAGCATCCTCCCTCTGTCAAACACCTTCCATTTCTTAATGTTTAGAGATGAGGAACTCTGTCATCCCACCTTATGTTTTCCCACAGTCAGTATTGCCAACAGCAGTGGTGGACTGAGAAGTAGACTAGTTAATGGCTCTTCTGGAGGGAAGTGACCCCTGTCATCAGTACTCCCCTGGAACACCTGCCTGCCCCACCCTACTGCATAGCAGGAGGAAGCTATGAAACTTGAAACGCCCAATATATAGGGGAGAGCAAAAGTAGGTTAATAATAAATAAATAAATAAATAAATAATACAATAATTAATAAATAAATAACATAAGAATAAACTCTGTGTTTGCCTACTCACAACTGTAAACCTACTTTTGACAACCCCTGCATTTATTGGGTCAGAGGTTGGACTAAGGCAGGGGTGGGCAAACTTTTTGACTCGAGGGCCACAATGGGTTCTTAAACTGGACCAGAGGGCCGGAACAAAAGCATGCATGGAGTGTTTGTGTGAACTAATCTAAATTCAAAGTAAACATCATTACATAAAAGGGTACGGTCTTTTTTTTATTTTATTTTTATTCATTTCAAACGGACTGGATCCAGCCTGCGGGCCATAGTTTGCCCACAGCTGGACTAAGGGGAGTTTAAAAAGGCAAGGAAATGCTCTTAGAAGATAGCTTGCAGTGGTCCAATAATGACCACATATTAGTAATGGCTCCATATATTAATAATGACTCCTAAAAAGGGGACATGGACTTGGCAATAAAAACAAGGAGAACTTTATTTCTTGCTGGTTATAATGTATTTTTAAGTGTGACATGTCAAGGATATTTTTTCCCTTTTTAATTTTAAATATTTTTCTAATGAGTAAATATTTCCAATGTGGTTTGTGTATGTCAGCATATAATGTGAAAATGATAGTTTTAGAGAATTGAAAGCAATAAACTCAGCAGTCACAGAGGTCAGCATATTATCATTA